AACAACAATCAGAAATGGACAATAATACACTGAAAGGGCAAAGGAGTAGAACTGAAGAGTTAGAAACCAGAACTAGTGAGCTAGAAGATCAATCTCTCAACACCTCTAAGACAGAAGAGCAACACAAAAAAAGATAAAAAAATCTGAAGAAGGCCTAAGATTCATGTTGGACAACAAGAAGAGGAGTAACTTAAGAATTACTGGCATTCCGGAAGAGGAAGTATCTATCATGCAAGTCCACAGAGAAGATAGTTGAAGAGCTTCTGCAAGAAAATTTTCCTAACATCCTGAAAAGTAAAAAGATGAGCATTCAAGAAGCTCAATGAACTCCAGGAAGAATAGACCCTAAAACACAATCACCAAGACATATGATAATCAAGCTCTCCAAAATCAAAGATAAGGACAGGATCCTCAAAGCAGCTACGGAAAAGAGAAGTGTAACATAAAAAAGGCGAGCAAATCACATGAAGCTCGGATCTCTAAAAAGAAACCATGCAGTCAAGAAGGCAACGGGCAGACACATATAAAACTCTGAAAGAAAAAAACTGCCAATCAAGAATCGTCTACCCAGCAAAGCTGTCAAATAAATATGATGGTATAATCAAAACATTCCAAGATAAACAGAAGCTAAGGGATTTTGCCAAAGCCAATCCTGCTATGAAAAACATCCTAAAGGAAAGTCTGCGGACTGAAAACCAACAAGAACACACAACAACTACAGAATGATGTATGTGCCAGCATCACCCTGAACTCAATCGACAAATGGAAGAGTCAAGAACAGAATAAAATTCTAAGAACAAAGGATGTGGGAGGTCAGTTTATGATCAAAACAATTACAATGTGAAAGAAGGTAAACAGAGGAACAGAGATCCAGGTGGTGGGAAGGTCAGGTAGATTACAGAATAAAACAGACTGTCTTAAATAGAGGAAGGAATTAATGGAATATAAAGTAACCACAACAATGGGGTTGGGGTGCAGGATTTAGTTCGGGTGTTGGGGAAGGCAATACAAGAAGGGAGAGGAGGAGGAAGAACAAGATAGATAGGAGAACACTGAGACAGGTTTGCATGTCTTAAGTGGGACAGAGTTAAATGTTGATGTATGCTCAACCTTGGAACAACAGGGCTCTGGGATACAGGGATCTAGATATAGCTTGAAGTTGTTGTTGTTAAGTACTGTGGAGTCAGTTCTGACACATAGTGACCCTGTAAGAGGGTTTCTGAGGCTGTAAATCTTTAAGGGATCAGAAAGCCTCATCTTTCTCCCATGGAACGGGTGGTAGTTTCAAACTGCCAACCTTGAGGTTAGCAGCCTGATTCGTAACCACTAAGCTACCAGAGCTCCTTATAGCTTGAAGAGGGGAAATACTAGAATGCTTGACTGTCTAATGAATATTAGTTTCCCTTGCCTACTATTGTAAAATAGGCACTTGAATGGGATAGAAAGGAATATTGGGAAACATGATTAGAAAAAACTTGTAAACCCATCTTCAGGAACACCTAAAAGGGCCCTAGAACTTGCCCAGTGAAATAGGCCTCTTGCAAAGCCTTTATAGAGTATAGGACCCTAGTTGGAATCCTGAGTCCCATCCAGAACCGTATGACGTGGGACATTCCCACTAGAAAGGACAAGCAGACCAGCCTGGAACAGGTAGAGCGACAGAAGATACATCTTCAAAGAAAGATCATCAGGAAAAACCCAAAACAAAAATGTCAGCATGACTGGCTACTACAAGAATAAGCAAGCTGTTCGCCAGGAAGACATCAAGGTAAGCAATAAAGTTCCTTCAGTACAAACTCCCCTCTTAAGACTGAAACTCAAAGGGAACACACACACAAGCATGTAAACTTGCTGGTGACCACACTGGTCTATCTACTGGTGAATGGAAGAGGTGGAAAGGCAGCAATGAAGAACTGGGCTGAATTCAACTACAGTCCATTGACTCCCATTGACCTGGAGATGAGAAAGAGAAGAGGAAGGGCTGGTTGGTCCGAAGTGTGGTGAGACCTGAGGACACTTGAGCCCATGGACAAGGACTTAGCCACAGAGGGCTAGAGCTGACAGTGAAGCATCCAGCTCATATGAAGTAAGGGGAAATGCACAAGTACACCCAAACTTGCAGACCTAGCCTTGATGGCTTGATAATCAGAACTCGAGTAGAGGAAGATTGCAAAAAATAATAGTAATAATATATATATATTTTTGTAAAGGAAACAAGGTAAATTGCTACAATTTGATGTACATGACCTACATGATGTACATGACAGAGCGGTAGTTACTCTAAATACCAACAGAGAGGGAAAGAGTCCTCACATCAAGTATCAATGCCATCCGCTCTGTACACAGGGTAGATAGGGACGGGCAACTTAAGACATTGGCTACCTAACATGAGGGGGCAATAAACGCACAAAGTGACTGGCTTACAAGGTTTCAAAAGGGAGTTTAGTGTTAGAGTATGGTGGGAAAGAAAGAGTCCCCACTGAATAGCTGTCATCTTGTCTAGATGGGTCTGGTAAAAAGAGATGGGGATATGATTTGTATGATTCAATAGTGGATAACTGTTTTAATTGCGACTGTCACAATTGTAAAGGTAGAAATTTTGTAACAAAAACAGGGGAGTGGTTAATCTTACAATCCAGAAACAGAGGACCCTAGGTCCATCAAGGGAGAAGCGCACAGGCAGAATGCAGGACCTTATCCAGAGAAGCAGCGATGCCAGAGATGGAGGCAGAGATGGGGGCATGGAGAGAGGGAGCAGCTGAGGACTCTAGATTTTTGGAAGAGCTGGTGGCCATGAGGCACAGTTGCAGAATGTGCCCTTTGGAGATGTAAATTATTATATATGCCTGAGTGGGTTTTTTTGTTTTTTGAAAAAAGCTAAAGTGGATAGGGAGAAACACTGTTAACTGATGGTACACAGAGAGGATTATAATCATTGTAATGAAACAAGGTATATGATTTGGTGAATATAAAACCAATTATCTGCCCTGTAAACTTTCATTCAATCCACAGTAAAAACCTTAAAAAAGAAAAGAAAAATGATGTATCTACTGAATCATTGTATTTCTTATATAAAATATAATATTAGCTTTTGGTGGCTTTCCTCAAAACTTTTGTTTTTAATTGTTCTATATAAAATGCATTATTTGGCAATTTCCAGAAGGAGGACAAAACAGATGTTGAGATCCACCAAAAAACCGTTACTTCCATTAAGCGGATTTTGACTCAGAGTGACTCTCTGGAGGACAAAGAACTGCCCCACGGTGCTCCAAGGCTGCAATCTTTATGGAAGCAGACTGCCACATCTTTTTTCCATGGAGTGGCTGGTGGGTTCAAACCACTGTTCTTTTGGTTAGCAGTGAATGCTTTAACTACTACACTGCCAGGGTGCAGGATACGCACTGGACAGCTAACCAAAAGGTCAGTGGTTCAAACACACCATCCGCTCCTCAGAAACCCTATACAGGGTCACTATGAGTTGGAAATGACTCAGTAGCTCTTAAAAACAACAAAAGCAGAGGATGAAATAAAGTTAATAGGAACCAATTTAAATTACAATGCTTCTGTCTGCTTTGGTGTTTGAATGACCTCTCGAGTCATGCTCAGCAAACTTCTCTTACTTTTAAGATGAGGCACTTAGATCACTCTCATACCTGATAGTCTCAGCACAATTATAATCACACATTTTCCATTTCCCTCCTCATTACTGTCATGGGAAGCTCTGCTTCACTTTCAGATCCGTTAACTGATAGAGATGCTACAAAGTATTTTAATTAATTTCAGTATATTAGAAGCTTCTTTTCTAGATGTAAAGTGTGCACAAAGAAAAATCCACTACAGATCTATACTAAATACAGTTGCTAGATTATATTTTTCATTCAGATTCTTGCCTGCACACAGTTCTGCTCTGAATGAGCTGAATATATCTTTTGAACACATGGTATTCATGAATTAGTCATAAATTCCTTGGATCTTTTGTGACATTCAATTTTTTGCCAAATTTTAAAAAAGTCTGAGTCTGAACAATATTGGAATCCTTGGGGGGATGGGAGAAGGTATAAGAAAAAATCTTTACCTTGTGTGTTTGATAAACGATGATTGCATTATCAGCTAATGTTTCCACCACATGGAAGTTCTCTATAGTTGCTGAAATGAAGAGAATAATATTAATGGCCAAAAAATATGGATTACTTTTTCCTAGTGATGATGTCACCTGCTAAAAGTCATTTATAATACAAAGGGACATTATGGTAAAACGAACAGAAACGGACCCCACTCAGGCTAAATCCAAATGGAAGGTGGTTAACGCACGTAGGGTTATAGACAGTGGCTGTGATGCCCATCACCAGGGAGTCTCATGGTTTGGGGCTGACAGCTTCTTCCACAGCAAGAAGCAATTTTAACCACTACTGTAGTTGTTGTTGTTAAATACAGTGGAGTCGGTTCTGACTCATAGTGACCCTACACAGGGTTTACGAGGCTGTAAATCTTTACGGGAGCAGAAAGCCTGATCTTTCTCCAGCGGAACAGCTGGTAGTTTCAAACTGCTGACCTTGAGGTTAGCAGCCCGATTAGTAACCACTATGCTACCAGAGCTGCTTAGTACTCAGGCTGAAATGATGACCCTTCCCTATAAGCCCTAATTTACTGAAGCTGAATATAAACTATTCTACCTAGGCTTTTGTTGTTGTTGTTGTTAAGTGCCGTCTAGGTAACCATATTTGTGAGAAATATATGTTAACTGCCAATGACAAACATCTGTGATGTTCAGAAATAGATGGATTTTTGAAATTGGTGTCTAAGGAGAATATGCTCATGCCAACAATTATGCTAAACTAACCATAGGAGAATTCATCTGGGACTTATGGAAACAAAATAGTCTTAAGTTGAAAGTTGAAAACCCAAACCCTATTGCTATTTAGTCAATTCTGACTCATGACGACACTATAGGCAGAAAGACCTGTCCCATCGGGTTTTTGAGGCTGCAATCTTTATGGAAGCAGACCATTGCATCTTTCTCCTGTAGAGCAGCTGGTAGGGTTCAAAGCATGGAACTCCTGATTCGTGGTCAAGTGCTTTAACCACTGCACCACCAGGACACCTAAATTAAAATGGTAGGGACTGTGGTTGTGTGCTGTCAATTTACAGGAGATTTAAAGTGGTAGGACTCTCACTCCTGTCCCATCCCCCAACAAAACTAAACAAAACAAAAAAACACACTGCAAATGAGTTGAGTCCAACTCATAACCACACCATATAGTGTTTTTGAGTTTATAAATCTCTATGGGAGCAGAAAGCCTCATCTTTCTCCCACAGAGCAGTTGGTGGGTTTGAACCACTGACTTTGTGGTTAGCAGTCCAGTGCTTATCCTATAGCACTGCCACAGTAGACAATAAACCCAGTGACTATGCACAGGGTTTGTGAATCTGTAAATCTTTGTAAGAGCAGAAAGCCTCACTGTTCTCCCTCAGAGCAGATGGTGTTTTTGAACTACCAACATTGCAGTCAACAGTCCAGTGTTTATCCTACAACGCCACTAGCGTTCCTTTAGACTAGACAATAAAACATAACTTTTCTGTTTTAATCCTGTCTGACCCACTAATTAGCAGTATGGCCTTTGATAAGTTACCTCTCAGACTTTATTTGATTTGTAATGTAAGATGAGAAACGCTGATACCTACTTACCTCAGCATTCAGAATTACCATGCAGCAGACCAAATGACTTAATACACTGGAAAGCATTTTCAAAGTCAAAAGCTTGACTTCAGGCATTAGCAGTTCCCTATATGATACTTCAGAGTCCTCATGTGGCACTGTAGGATAAGCACTGACTGCTAACCACCAGGTTGGCAGTTCAAACCCACTAGCCGCTCCTTGGAAAGCCTATATAATAGGGTCGCTAATAAGTCAGAGCCAATTCGATGGCACTCAACAACAAACAACATATGACAATTCAGAAAATCTCTACATTGATTTCATAAACCAGAGATTAGATACAGAACATGGGGTTGAATATGAAACTCAATTTAAAATAATATTTAGATTACCATGTTAATTGAATTAACATACTAACAGCAGCTTACTTTCCCAGTCATTGCGAACATCCACATTCCAGAAATAATTGCAGACCTCGTGTCCTGTAACACCTTTAACTGCATGGGTAGCTTTCAAAGGATCCAGAACAATCCCGTTTTCTTCAACTTCTCTTCTGTATACCTAAAGAGGATACATTTAAAAACCAAAAATTAAATACCTACAGTACAAATTCAAAGGCATGCTTACATTTGATTTCAAATTTAGTTGTGTTTCAGAATTTTATTTATGAAAACCTACTTGTGAAATAGTCTGCTAAAAGAAAAACCAAACAAATTTGTTAACAGACAACAAATGAAAAATATTTAAAACTATAAATCCAAGGTAAACTTCAACTATAACAAGCATATGTAATGAATGACTAATTGCTATTTTGAGCTTTTAATAAATATGTCACAGAGCGTGCAACATGGCTAAAAACGGCCATGTAAGCCCGGTTAGACTATACTCTCCTTAAAGATTGTTGATTCAAGTCTGCTTTTTCAATGTTATATCCCCAGCATCCAGAACAGTATCTGAAACAGAATAGGTGTACTCACATGTTTGGTGAAAAAATTCTAAATTCAGATCTATCTTGCTTTAATACTAATACTTGCTTTTATATTAATGCTTTAAACAACAAGCTTGTATACTGAATAAAAGAAATTATTTAAAAATTTTCAGGATTGCTGTTTTAAGGAGCTCTGCAATAAATTATTTTGAGATATAAATAAAACTCATGGGAAGAACTAGCTCTCAATTTAAAGAGTGCCTACAGGGCCAGACAAGGAGCTCTGGTAGCTTAGTGGTTATGAATCAGGCTACAAACCTCAAGGTCAGAGGTTTGAAACTACCAGCTGCTCCGCGGGAGAAAGATGAGGCTTTCTGCTCCCGTAAAGAGTTACAGCCTCGGACACCCTGTACAGGGTCGCTATGAGTCGGAACTGACTCCATGGCACATAACAATAAACAACAATAGGGCCAGACACTTTCAGGCATTCTCACGTACTTTTTCTCTTTTACAATCTTTCTCTCTCTAAACTATCTTCTCCTACACATTTATTCTAAACTCTTGACTCCTCCCCCTCATGCTGCACATAGGTATTAAATTTATTATTTATCTATATGATATCCATATGGAGTCTCTGAATGATACAAACAGCTATGTGTTTGAGTATTAGCCAAAAGGCTGGCAGTCTGAATCTACCCAGAAGTGTCTCATAAGACATGCCTAGAGATTTGGCTCTGAAAGCTTACAGACTTGAACACTCTAGGAAGCAATTTTACTCTGCACAAGTGAGGTCACTGTGAATCAGAATCTTCTCGATGGCAACTATTAAGGACATACAACAAACAGCTGGATCTTTCTACTGTTGCTAATCTATTCCACGTGGCTTTCATCACATTACATCCAATACCAAGTAAGCTTCTTGGACTCTTCCTAAAAGGATCTCCCCTAAAATGCTACTTTGTATAGCGGCTAACCTACTGCTACAGACAACAGGGGGTTTCTTTATTCTTCCTATAAACTAGCCCCAGGTTTTATCACTCTCTAAGGCAGGAGTCCTGGTGTGGCGCTGTGGGCTAATGCGTCAGACTGCAAAGTCGTTTGAACTGCAAGGTTGGTGGTTCAAGCTCACCAGCTCCTCCTTGGAAACCCTATACAGGGTCACTATGTGTCGGAATCGACTCGATGGCACTTAACAACAACAACAACAAAGGCAGGTTATAGAATAGGTAGGCTTGGATCAACTCTGCTACTCTATGAAGAGCATGCATCTTGGTCTGCTTTTGAGGTCTGCTACTGTGGAGAAGGCCTGTGAATGTCCAGTCATGTCAGAGATATGTTTAATTCTAGGGTAATGTACTGCAAGACTGTGTGGTTGTTGATCTAAAGCCCTGCTCTCCAATCAGCTTACCAGAACTATAGCTAACATTTTGATATCTCATTTGCCTATCTTATGTCTTATATCTCACTTGCTAGAATAATTCTAGACAACATAGTTTATATGAAAAATCCTAAATCAGAAATTTGCTTTCAAGTATTGCCCTTTGGCACAATACTATTTCCATTTCCAGACACAGTTCAAATGTTCCTCCTCAGCGTCAAGTATAATGAAATTGTTTCAAATCTCAGAGAGCTCTTTCTTTCCCAATTTTCTTTACTAGTCATCTATACTCTCCCTTCAATATATCCTCAAACGTAGAGAGTCCTATTAAATACTCCATCCTTAGCACGGGTAGCGTAGTGGTTACAAATCGGGCTGCTAACCTCAGGGTCAGCAGTTTGAAACTACCAGCTGTTCTGCGGGAGAGAGATGAGGCTTTCTGCTCCAGTAAAGAGTTACAGCCTCAGAAACTCTGTACAGGGTTGCTATGAGTTAGAACCAACTCCACGGTACATAACCACCAACCAGCATCCTTAGCACAGTGGCTTTGGTATTCAAAACTTCACCACTGTTGATGCTGCTTTTCAACCTATCTCTGGACTTCTCCATTTCTTGCTCTTACTCTGTTTTCTTATGTTTAGATATGTGAGCAAGAGTTGCTGACCCAATGTTCAGATCTCAAAAAATTGCAATGAGAGAAAACACCGCCCAGCCCAGTGCTATCCTCATCATTGTTATGTTTGAGCCTATTGCTGCTGCCACTGTCCCCATTTCTCTGGGGGCCAGGGGTCTTCCTCTTTGTTGCTGACCCTCCAACTTATCAAGCATAAGAAAGCTATAGGTCAAAGGTGGTCGTGGTGGTCGTGGTGTGCCGTGACGTTGGTTCCGACTCATAGGTCAAAGAGAGAGTTGAAAAAAGAAAAAAAGACATCTGGGCACAACATTAAGTATATAAAGGATTGTTGCTGTTGTAAAAGTGTCATCGAGTTGGTTTCAACTCACAGCGATCCTGTATAGGGTTTCCGAGGAGAGACTGGTGGGTTTGCACAGTTGACTTTGTGTTCAAACTGACCTTGAGGTCCAGTGCATTATCCTGCAGTACCACACCAGGACTCCATATAAAGGATGTAACAAAATTAAAAATAAATAAGCAAATCAGAGGCCAGGCCATCAGCTAAATGTGGCCTGTTCACATCTAATCATCAAACTTTTACTTTCTCCATAGTCTAGGCAAAATAGAACAGTTTGCAAACAAATCCACAATATGATCATGAAGAAGTTTGTAAAAGTTAAACCAGGGAAGCAAAAGAACATTTTTTTTGTCAATATCTGATGTTTCTTTGATGTAATTCCTGTTTTAAAATTTAGAAACACTATCCTTATTCATTTTTATTCACGGAGCCCTGGTGTGTCACTGCTGGTTAATGTGCTGGAACTGCAAACTCAGTTTGAACCTCAAAGTGGGCGGTTCAAGCTCAGAAACCGTATACAGGGTCACTATGAGTCGGAACCAACTTGAAGGCACTCAACAACATCCTTATTCCTATCAATAATAATGGTAATATTTTTGCAACAGAGATGCAGTCAAACCTATAGCTTTTCTGCATCGATCCTTAATTATTCAGTGGAAATTACCTTCATTTCTCCTTCTTCTACCACCAACTGCCAATTGGCATCGCCACCTACATCCTGTAATGAGTAAGTCATGTGGTTCTGTACCATCTCTTCCACCTTGAAAAGAAAACCAAAGACACACATAAGAGCCCACATCCAACTAACAGCTATGTCATAATTTCTTTAACCTAATGGATTTCAGTTTACTTCAGTTCAGAAATGGGGCTTTTAAAGTTTAATTATTAAAAAAAGAAAAAAGAAAAAGAAATGGTGCTTTTAAAAAGCGAAGCAACAAAATGCACAAAGGTTAGTAGGTTTTATACAGTGCTGTAGGACTTTAGCCCACATTCAGATATCCAGGTTAATGACTGGAGGGGGAAATTCTGGACGAAGGATGCTTAACTCAAACAACATACACTGGCCTGTTTATCAGGTGCAAAATAATCATTTTCTGGGAAAAAAGTTCTATCCTTTACTATAAGTGGAGTCCAAGTATGGTGGCTGCAGGAGACGCACTGGACCATTAATCAAAAGGTGGGCAGTTCAAACCCACCAGTCGTTCCTCGGAAACCCTACACAAGCTCAATATGAGTTGGAACCAACTCGACAGCACTAACAATTACCATAAAATGCTTCCTTACAAAGATAATGTCTCAAAGCATAAAATGATAGAATACTAAGGATAAAAATGGCATGCGGAGACCATCTAATACAGTGACCCTGTATTTCAGGCTACACAGAGGTTATCAGAAAGCTTGTTATATGTAAATGATTTCCCTAGAAAAGGGTGACAAAATTTTCCTTATTGTACTTCTCTTATCATGAAAATAAGCCAACCCCCCCACTTATTTAATTGGAATTTCATTATTCAAAGTTCTTGTAGGAACAATCCTTATAATAAGCAAAGATTGACAAATATCACTTTTTAGTTTACTCTTTCTTTTGCTCAGACTTAAATGAAACCTCTGCTTCTATTTTTATAGACTTTTTGTTGTTGTTAGAACAGTTTTTGGTCTTTAGTGTTTAATGCATCAAATCTGTTCTTCAGATGATCTCTAAATTCAGGTGGGATAAATTCAAGGTCATATTTTGGCTCTCGTGGACTTGTTTTCATTTTCTTCAGTTTCAGTTTGAATTTGCATATCAGTAATTGATGGTCTGTTCCACAGTCTGCACCTGGTCTTGTCTTCACTGATGATATGGAGCTTTTCCATCTTCTCCTTCCACAGATGTAGTCTATTTGATTTCTATGTGTTCCATCTGGCGAGGTCCATGTGTATAGTCGTCTCTTATGCTGTCTAAAGAAGGTATTTGAAATAAACAAATCATTTGTCTTGCAGAAATCTATCATTCGTTCTCCAGCATCATTTCTATCACTAAGTCCAAATTTTCCAACTACTGGAACCTCCTCTTTGCTCCCTACTTTTGCATTCCAGTCACCAGTAATGAGCAATACATCTTAATTGCATGTTTGATCGATTTCAGATCGAAGAAGTTGGTAGAATTCTTCTATTTCAACTTCACTGGCTTTAGTGGTTGGTGCATACATTTGAATAATAGTGGTATTAACTGGGCTTCCCTGTAGGCACATGGATATTATCCTATCACTTATAGCATTGTACCTCATGACTGATCTGGATATGTTCTTTTTGATGATGAATGCAACACCATTCCTCTTCAACTTGTCATTCCCTGCATAGTAAACCATGTGGTTGTCAGATTCAAAATGGCCAATACCAGTCCATTTCAGCTCACTAATGCCTAAAATATTGATGTTGATGTGTTCCATTTCATTTTTGACAACTTCCAATTTTCCCAGATTCATACTTCGTACATTCCATGTTCCAATTTTCAATGGATGTTTTACAGCTGTTTCTCTTCATTTTGATTTGTGGCCCATTAGCAAATGAAGGTTCTGTGAGCTTTTCTCTACTTGGAGAAGGCATTTTTTTTCCCCCAGTCGCATTCTGAGTGCCTTCCCAACTTCCAGTTCTGTATCTGACAATGTTTCTCTGCTATTCATAGAGTTTTCAGTGACTAGCGACTCGGAAGTAGTTTGTCACTCTTTCTTCCTAGTCTGTCTTTGTTTGGAAGCTCATCTGAAACCTGTCCACCATGGGTGACCCTGCTGGTTATTTAAAATACCGGTGGCATAGCCCTCAGAATCACAGCAATTCAAACCACCACAGCATGACAGACAGACGAGTGGTGGTTGTGTGGTTGCTGTTAACACGAATCTCCTTGCGCTACGGCCCTTAAGTCTGGCTCAAAGGTGGGATTTCCGTCCTAGGATGTCGCGTAAGTCAAGAGTGCAGCAGGGGCGACAGGGTTGTAATGAGACGTTTTGAGCTCTGCTTGTGGGTCTCTAAGTTGATCGAGGTTGTATCATCTGCTTATTGCAGGTTGTTAATGAGTCTTCCTCCAGTCCTGATGCCACACTCTTCTTCATCTAGTCCAGCTTCTTAGATTATTTGCTAAGCATACAGATTGAGTAAGTATATTTTAAAACATTTAGTAGTCTCTCCTTGCCCTGTTTGAAATACCTGTCTTAGAATATGTGCAGGTTTCTCATGAGCACAATTAATTGTTCTGGAATAGCCATTCTTCGCAATGTTATCCTTAGCTTGTCATGATCCACACAGTCGAAAGACTTTGTATAGTCGATAAAGCATAAGTAAAGATCTTTCTGGTATTCTCTGCTTTCAGGCAAGATCCATTGGACATCAGCAATGATAACCCTCATTCCACATCTGTCTGACTCAAATTAAAAGTTCCACAGTTTACCCAGGTCTTCTTCAGGCTGGTGATTAATTGTGCTTTTCTACCGTCTCTTCCCACAAATGTAGTCAGTTAATTTCTGTGAATTACATGTATAGAGTCATCTTTTATGATGTTTAAAAAAGATAATTCCAATGACTAAATCACTGATGTTGCAAAATTGTCATGTGATCTCCAGCATATTTCCTATCACTAAGACCGTATTTTCCAATAACGGATCCTTTGTTTCCAATCTTCGCATTCCAATCACCATTTTTTAAAAAAAGTCAATTCCTGTGTTTCCTAGCTCAAACTGTATTCATTAGTCAACAAAGCTCTTTGTTTTACTTTAAGAGAGTTTTGGCTAGTTTGTGCTACAGCATTTCTGGTGTCTGAGGTGAGATTCATTGCTGGCAGCAACCCCTGAGTAATCAAGGATTTGGGTTTCAGAACCATCAGGCTGCATGGGCGCTTTTTGCTCCACAAACTCTCAGGAGTTGTCACAAGATAAATAACTTCTCAAATTTGAGCTCTGCTTTCTTTGTATTGTAGCTCTTCAAGCTTTACTGAAGATCTGTTCCTGTTTTTGCAGGAATAATTTCACTATTCCTTTGAGAAAATGTTGTTGTTATGTGCCGTGGAGTCTGTTCCGACTCATAGCAACTCCGTACAGGGTTTCCAAGGCTGTAAATCTTTACGGGAACAGAAAGCCTCATCTTTCTCTCGCAGAACAGCTGGTAGTTTCAAACTGCTGACTGTGAGGTTCAAACTGCTGACGATTCGTAACCACTACACTACCAGAGAAAATAAGGAATGCCAATATCTAAGGGGCAAATCGGAGCCACCCAATGGGACTCCTGATAAAGCACTGTGATCCTTTAACCTGTGAGTTTTTGTCTGGCTGGCACTGTTTTATTATAGATAGCCCAGAAAATCACTGGCCACTTAGTACTTCTTTTGATTTGTCTAAAATTAGTTTTTCTGTGTAGCATACTAGAAAACAAAAGACCTCAGATTAAATCATCTCAAAGGGGCAGTGTAGTACCTAGAAGTTTTTAAAAAGACACCAGGGCAGTAACATCACTTCCTATCTCTAAATTAGTAAAACAAAGAGCTGGAAAGTCAAGTTTCTGTCCCACCTATTCCTATTTCTCCAAAGCTATCTATCCCTTTGCCTGTCATTTCCTGGGTAGCCAATGGAAAAACCTCTCTGTGAAAAACAAAACCAACCAAAATTCTATGCCTTAAATGCCCCATATGAGCTTCTGGCAATTTAATACGTTTATCTATTGAACTGAGCTGATCTCTTCCAAGAACTATTATACATATTTGAAGAAAAAAGCTTGTATTTGGATTTTTGGTTGTTAGCTCCCTAACAACAGTTTGTTAAATCAGAGGTCACTCAAAATTCTTTCCCCAAATAGGAAGCCTAATCTGTTTAAAATAAGAGACTAAGTCTCCAACTGGCAGAATAACTTAGGATCAAAACATAATGAAACCAAAGTTTCAATCCCAACCACAACTGGGATGCTGGTTTGGGGATTCATGTTAAAAAATACTACAAGCTGCATATATTTAAAATTTAGAATTTCAATAATCACTTTGGGAAAATGAGTTCCCAATTGCAATGGCGAACCTTTTTTTTGAGAACTTTTATTTAATTCTCAGTCTGAATAAAATCCCTCCATCCAAATTGCGGCAAGTCATTAAGTTTCTCTGTTGAGTCAATCAACAAAAGTGATGTAAATGATCAAGAAACTAGATTGTTCTTGTTGTTGTTAGATGCCATGGAGCCGGTACCGACTCATAGCGACGTTACATACAACAAAACACTGCCCGGTCCTGGGCTAAACTCACAATTGTTGCTACACCTGAGCCCACTGATGCTGCCACTGTGCCAACCCTCCACTTTATCAAGCATGATATCCGTCTGCAGTGACTGGTCCCTCCTGACAATATGGCCAAAGTATGAGAGACGAAGTGTGGCCATCCTGGCTTCCAAGGAGCACTCTGGCTAAACTTCTTCTAACACAGTTTGGTTTGTTCTTTTGGCAGCCCATGGTACTTTTAATATTCTCCTCCAACATCATAACTCAAATGCATCAATTCTTCTAAAGTCTTCCTTATTCACTATCCAACTTTCGCAAACATTCATGAGGTTATTGAAAATACCATGGTTTGCATCAGGTGCAACACACAAGTCATCACAGAATGACAAACTGACAGACAAGTGGTGGAAGAAACTAGATATCATATCTGTACATATGCTTGAACTTTTAAAAGATGTTAGAGTAAATATAAATTGACTGTGATATTATGTTTAAATCATACTTCAACAAATTATTAAAAGTGATGAGAAACTTTATGACTTACTTTTGAAATTAGTTGTTGAATATAATAAAATCAAGAAAATAGCTTACTGAAGTGTTTTAAAAAGTGACATGGAGATACACAAATACACAAGATGAAAAACATGCTATATCATAGTAACAACTTTTGCTTTTCTACATTAATGAATACCATTTTAGATTTTTACAGGACTTTGCTTAGTATACATGTAAGTCACTTCAAGAAGTGCTCAAGAGTAAAACGTACCAAATTGTAAAATGCATGAAACTTAACTTAGTCATTAGTGTGGTTTCATATTATGTCAAATTAGAAGAGTTTCTCAATTATTAACTCTCATTCTAAATCTAATGCTATATCCTTAAGTGTGATTGGACAGAATAATCTGCTAGACTCTTTGGAATGGAATATAAGGCAGCATAATGAATGTCCTCCAAAACAAGCAATCTTGTCAACTTAGAGTTAGTTACCTTAAAGGGGTGAAGAGAAGATAAACAGTATAATCAATAGTTAACTGCCAGAACCCAACTTTGGCTGACAACAAATGCTGACAATTTTTAGTATTATTTTCTTCATTTATACCTCTTTTGGCATGTAAAACAGTACAACAAAAAACTAAAACAGGATCTGATTAAGCATGAGCATCATTACTTAAAAAAGAAAATCAGCCAGATTATTTTCCCAATTAATTATCCATGATTTACATTTAAAATTACATGGCGAATTAAGCTTTATTTAAAAGAAAGCAAAAAGAAAAGGGCACCTGCTCCTTAACAGGTGAATACATATTCACTTATACGTTATGATTTTTTAAGTTTTTATATAAAGCTCTATAAAAAGTTTGTTTTGATGTCCTAATTCTTAGGCATTCCCTGTTGTTGTTAAATGCTGTTGAGTTAGTTTCAATTCACAGAGATCCTGTATAGGGTTTCCAAGGAGCGGCTGGTGGCTTTGAACCGCCAGCCTCATGGTTAGCTGTTTAGAGCTTCTCTAGCAGAGGCTTAATTCTTTCCTTGATTGCATAACATTTACTTAAATTTAAAGCCTGTGTATTCTTCTTTTCATTTTCTGGAAAATGGTGACCCAGCACTGATGGTTTGTAATTAGTCTGTTAACTTACCTGACATTGCATAGCCGATTAGAATTTTTAACTAGAAAACAACTTGTCATTTCGACTAAAGAGCTCGGATATTTAAGCATCACCCAATAAAATACAATCACAATAAAGACACAAAGTTGAGTATCAAAGATGTAAAGATTTTTAAAAATGAAAAATTTAATGGCAGATACTAAAAGTTACACTTCCAATGGTAATCTGCTTCTATTTTGAGGCAGAGACTATAGGTGTAAGGTTTTCCATCTTAAACTCCTAAAACCTTGATTATGCTACATAAACTTAAAACCAGTTTCTACAGACTTGGCAGACCAATAGGAATATTAATTTATAATACTCAAAGGAAATTTGCATGAGGAAATACCTGTACGATGGAATTTATTAATAAGATGGATATTTTTAAATTAGTTATTTCCCTGCTGAGTATAAACTAGGCGATACTTGAAATTATATTAAAAGTGAGATTGTTGAAACCTGCTTTTTATTATTACAACAAATCCTGTAGATCATTATTTATCAAAGTTGCTGAATTCTGAGAAAAATAGATATTATATGATCTATAAAAATAAGGTACCTTCTATTTGCTTTAATTCAATTTGAAAATCTTTTGAGAGTACTTACTGCTAGACAACAATCTAAGCTACTGACAGCAATGAATCTAAAGCACATGCCAGCCTGGTAGAGGAACTACTTGGTAGATTAGGAAGGCCTTTCTAAGGTTTATTGCTACTGCTTAAAATTCAAAACCCAAACCAGTGGCCTAACAAAAGATATCCAGGAACTGGGAAAGCAGGTTGAAACACAGCATGGAAAGATTCTAGTTCACTCTATACATTCATACAGTACCTGGGAGCTGAATCTGTGAACATCGTCAGAGGCACTGACAAGATCAATGGAAGACATGGAGGAAGAGCGACTATAGGGCTACCAGAGACAGACAAAGAAAAAACCAAGTCATCAGAACAAAGGCACAACAGAGCATTCAGTACCAACTTCCAAACACAAGATAAAGAAAGAGAAAACAAAGCACCGTATGAAAAAAGCACAGCAACAAGTGCTGACTTCATGCACCTATTATGTATTATGCTTCAAAATCATTCTAAAAAGAATGTAGCGCTTTCAATATCACAGAATATTACCACATAACCAAAGAAGAACAAGACTTAATGTAATCAGCTGTTCTATGGTTAACTATTCTGAACTAGCCATCCCCTATCCACTCACCCCACATTTTTGAAAAAACAAAGAGCTTTATATTCAGAGCAAGAGTTCTGCTCTGGAGTATGTATATATATGGACTACAAGGAGCCCTGGTGGCACCGTTAAGCAATGAGAGGTCAGCTGTTCAAACCCAGCAGCTGCTCCAAGTGAGAAAGATGGGGCAGTCTGCTTTCTAACAATGACAGCCTTGGGAACCCTGTGGGACAGTCTGACTCTGTCCTAAAGGATCACTATGAGTCCGAATCAACTTGACAGCAATGCTTTATTTAAATTAAAAAAAAAAATTTTTATATGGAATATAACAGATACAATAAAAGAACTCAATACTTACATTCAAGCAAAGGGGGGAAAACTTCTACTTACAAGGTAATTCATCAACAGTGATAAACAGTACAACATATACTTTGCGTAAACTGACATTAGCTTACCTTTTGAACAAATCTATGAGTCCCCACAGAAGAAAAGGCATCTCCAGATGGCAACGATGTAGGCCAATGTAATCTAACCTTTTCACTCTGTGACTAAAAAAAGCATAAAATGTTAAGATGGCAAGGTTTTTAATCTGTTTTGTAACTTTGGAATAGATAATGTAACTTGGAACTATCAACATTCATTACTGAACACTTCAATACTTATAAGACTACTCCAGAGACATAGCCTTTCCAAATCCTGACACTTCACATATCCCAAGCCATTCTCTTCTTTCTGACTCCACATTAGTTCTTTGATTTTGTTACTAATACTTGCATAGCATCATTTAGCATGTTTGCTGTTGTTAGGTGCCCCTGAGTCAGCTCTATCTCATACTGACCCTATGCACATTTCTCACAAGTCAATCAATGTTAACACTGCTACCACAGGACCCTTCTCCTATCCAAACTCAAGTCAATTCATTCCAACCTTCTACCTCATTAGACAATGTAGGTCTGCCCACAGACTTATGTATCATTGTTGTTGTTGGTGTGTGCCGTGGAGTCAGTTCCGACTCACAGCAACCCTGCATAGGGTTTCCGAGGCTATAAATCTTTACGGGAGCAGAAAGTTTCATCTTTCTCCCACGGAACAGCTGGTAGTTTCGAACTGCTGTCCCTGAGGTTTAGCAGCCCGATTCATAACCACTACGCTACCAGAGCCAACATCATTGCTTCAGTTCAGTTTTCAAGAATACATCATATATTAATTATTTCTTTGCCTCCTTTTCACCTAAGTGTTCAGCCTTCAATCATCTCATTCCCATTAAGCTGACATATAATATTTTTTGCTCTCCTTCGCTTGCCTAGTTTCTTCCACTTGACTCATTCAACAAATATTTACTAAATATTATGTGCCAGAAAATGCGATGTGTTATGTGGGTACTCCTTTTCTAACTATACAGAAGACAGCTGGTAATTTCTATTCAACACAGTCTGAACACATCTTGTAAGACCTCATTTCTCACTCACCAATGTAATGCGTATCTTTCCAAATGTTTATAAACAATATAAACTCAAAAATGTGTCATATGTATTGGTGGAGAATAACTATATACTTCCCACACTGTTGAGAACCAAACCTGTGTAATATGTACTGCATATAATAAAAGAAATGCTCTGAACTTATGACAGATTTCATGGATTACTGGGATTTAGTAATTTAGAGCATTAACATAATGTTGTTATCTTTGTAAATATGCCTATCTGACTACTGGGCAAGAAAATTCATAGTCTGTTTGATGACTTGTTTTGTGACTTATATACCAGAGAGTCTAAATAAGTCACTGAAATGAAATGATTTGATAGCTCCATGAATATTTCATTTTTTAAAGTTTCCAGATGTTTTTATTAATCCTCTCTTTAAACTTCAACTATTATACCGATATTCAATAGAGTAGCATTTCAGAGGAGTCCTGGTGTGGCACGATGGGTTAATGTACTGGACTGTAATATTGGTTTAAACCACAAGTTCAGCAGTTCAAACTCACCTGCAGATCCTTGGAAACCCTACACAGGGTCGCTGTGGGTTGAAACCGACACAAGGGCACTTAACAAGAAGCATTTTAGAACCAGAAAGGAGGTTCTGAATCATCTTACGTAAATCCTTTATCTCACGGATTAGAAAAATCAGGGCCCAAACAGATTGAGAAGTTCATAGCTACTACATAGTGTTGGTCAAAACTAAGACTAAGGTTAAGACGAAGGAGTCTTGACCCAGCAGTTCTCTACTCTCCTAAAATAGTACATCCTCAAAGAGAGAGAGAAAACAAGTGTGTGTGTCTGTTGTTGTTGCTAAGTGCTGCTGAGTCAATTCTGACCCATTGCAACCCTGTATAGGGTTTCCTAGGAGCAGCTGATGAGCTTGACCCGCCGACCTTGCAGTTCAAATAGCTCTCTGTAGTCTGGCCAACAAAAAACACGACGCTGTTACTTCAAGTACTATTTTATGCTTCTAAAAGTAGAGTTCATTTAGAAACTAAAAGTTCTCACTCTAAAGTATTAAGTAATTGAGACAGTATCTTTTGGATATTAACAGTGAGCAATAAACTTCACAAAATAATCTGACATGAACTTTTATTGTAGATTAAAAAAAAAAACAACAACCAAAAAAAGTCCATAAAAGGCAAAAATTATTATTATTATTATTATTATTATTTTTGTCTAGTGCTCATCCTACAATGCCACCAGAATTCCATCTAGCAATCTGCCCTTGGCTAGAGGGAATCCTGGTGGCGTTTGTAGGATAAGCATTAGACTGTCAACCAGAAGGCTAGTGGTTCAAGCCTACCATTCCCACCTCAGAAACACTATACAGGATTGCTATGAGTCAAAACTGACTCGACAGCATCTAATAACTTTAGCAGTAACAGAAAGTGACTAATCAAGCAAACTTTCTTATTCCAGCTAATTTTTAATATAAAATTGATACAAAGCTGATTTATTTACTAGATACTTGACAGTCACTTGTTCAAAAGTAAAGTTACATTTCCCCCATGAGAAACACAGTAACTAAAATGCATTCTTAAGTACCACCTAGTGGTAAAATATGATAGTTGCATTGTTGAATTAAGATGTCAAAAGATCAAAGTGATCTTGAAACCAGAGTAACGGGATTTAAGAAATGCTTTTCTCTAATTTCTACAGAAGGTAGAACTGCTTTGAATTCAATGATGGTGTTAAAACATTGAACAAAAATAAGGAACAAACTGAAGGTGAAGGTAGGAAAGGCAATAAATAGTATCGATAACAAAAGCTAAATAACTGATACTAATACAGAAAACAAGGAGAAAAACCCACCCAGAAATTAGTTAGGGTTGACATTTTGTTTCATTTTTTTTACTCCTTTCTGGATAACAATCAAAATAATAAAAACAAAAACAACCTTGTGTGTATACTATGGGAAGGGAAGTAGATGGGAAAATTCTTGGTCATCTTTCTTTTGAATTCATATAAATCCAGAGATTCAGATTAAATATATGCTTAAAGTGAACATTGCTTACATGCTTCTAGGGAGAAAGGCAGAATATTTCCATTTAATTTCATGTAAATTAGGCATACATCTTGAAGCAATTACTGGTCTTCTTTCAAATGCTTGGAAACCAATGTGAAGAACTGACATAAAGATAATTTCTATATTTATTTGTGATTCAATGTAGGCACAATTGAACTTTGTAGGTTATTAGGGCTTACAATTTTTAAATTCGGTTTATCTGAGATAACATATATAATGAAATGCCTATGATGTTAAAATGAATTTCAGTTTAGAATTTTTAATAACAGATATACCTGTTCTTCTATTTTATCTTGTCTGTCAAGTGCAGCTTCAACAGCATCAAAGAACTCTTCTTCATTAATCAGACTATTTGGACCTTCCTATTCAAACACATAGAAAAAAAAAAAACACACAAACATTTGATTTTAAAACAAAACAAAACAAAACAAAAACAGAAAGCACTGATAACCCTGGCATTAACTCTAAAAGAAAGCTGAAAATTGACTCAAATCTTTACTGAGCACATGGTTATAAACTAGTCAGTACGTTAGGGAATATTACCACAAAGTATTATAATGAGTAAAGTATGTTTTCTGAAAAATAATTTGTTACAATTAACTCCTTCAGTACTTACATATTTACTGTTAATGACTGGCATTATGTTAGGGTGATAGCCTATAACAGGAGTTGGTGAACCAAACTATGGTCCATTGTTTTTGTATGGTCTGTGAGATGAGTTTCATTTTAAGTGGTTAAGAAAAAAAAAACATTTAAAAACTAACATTCCTGACATGTGGAAAGATTAAAGTAACCTACCCCTGTCTGTAGATACAGTTTTATTGGAACACAACCAACCTTATTTGTTTATATGTTATCTTTGACTGCTTTGGGATAGAGTTGAGTAATTAGATAAGAGTCCATATGGTCTGCAAAGCCTACAATAGTCATAATCCACAAAATGTAAAATATTTACAGACGCTTTACAGAAAAAGTTTGTTAATGTCTATGTTAGAGAGGCCACTCACTATCTACTCGAAGATTAAGATAAGGATAGAATTACAGATGCGCTACAACTAGTAAGAAGTACAGACAGGAGTTGAGAAAGGGAACTTCTAAGCAAGGAGAATTATTTCAATGCAAAGAAAAGTTGATAAGTAAAAGCCTGCGTCCATGGCATAAAGCAGTGGTTCTCAGTAACCAAGGGAACTGCCTAAGGAACTTGTTAAAGTGAAAGCACCCAGGTACTCATACTCAGAAATTATACTTCACTTGGTTCTGGGTAGAGTTCAGGAAAACGCATGCAATCTCAGCTGTTTCAGAAAATAAAAGTTTAAGGAACAATAACAGCGAAATGGAATCCAACAAGCATGTTCCTGCTGCGATGAACCAAGAGAAATCAGTAGAACAGCTTTATATTAAGGTAAAAGTGGAGGCTTGGATTATGGTTGCCTAAATTTAAATAAATATACAAAATAAGACACATGAATAATCGCTAGTCTATCTGGAAATTTTAGTTAGAATGATAATCCCAAATTATCACAAGTTCATTAAAAACCATCTAGCCCCCTTCTTCCCCCACTAATATAACAACCAAGGACTGCACTGGAAGGGTGAGAGGAATTATGGTGTAGTGTTCCTATCATTTGACATAGGCATATGACACACCTTGTTTCAATGTACTCACTCTAAATCTTTTAGAATTATGAGGACTCCCTTATAACTCACTAAAAAAAAAAAACAAATAAAACCAACCAACTTTTCACTCAAACACAACGTACATACAAAAAAGTGAATACATATCTCAGTTAATTACAAGTGCATATACTCATCTATCAACTAGATGAATCGTAAGGAAAAAACATTTACAACACCCCGGAGGTTTCCCCTCTACAAGATGCCATTTATAAAATAAAAATATTTTAAAGGCAATTACACGATAGCAGTATATCTTTGGAACCAGTTTCTGAAAAGCTTTAAATATATAAAATCTACTCTAATTAAAATATATTTCCTAATGATTTTAACTCTACTGATAATACTATATTAAAAATAGTAACATTCATTCAGCCTACAGTGCTTTAGGACATGTGTCTCTTGATACTTATGGAGTAACTTTGGAGTCTTGTAGTTGTTGCTGGTGGATGTCGTTGAGTTGGTTCTGACTCAAGTGACCCTGTACAGGGTTTCCAAGGAGCAGCTGGTGGGACTGAACCGACCTTGCAGTTCAAACTGACCTTGTAATCCAGTTAATTATACTGCAGTGTCACACCAGTCTATTAATTGGAAACTTAAAGCATTAAAAATATCCCTCTTTGCCAAATGAAGCAGGCAAACAACAGGCATATTTTTCCTTTGATGCCAACTCTGAAGGAAAAGAACTAATACAACTGGAATAAAATTTTCTTACATTAAAAAGGACTTAAACCTTTTACTTTACATATGTCTTACATTAAAGACTATCCTAGAATTCTCTTCCCTTGTTAAGTGTCATTGAGTTGGTTCCAACTCACAGCAATCCGTTACAGTATTTCTGAAGAGCGGCTGATGGGTTTAAACCACTGATCTTAAGGTGAGCAGTTCAGTGGTGATCTCATTTCAATGCTGCATATGCAACATGTCTAAAACTAAATTTGTAATTTATACCTGTCCTCCAAACCCACTGCTTGTCCCTATCCACAGCAATCTAAAACAGAACTCAGAACTCTTCTTGACCTTAATCTTTCTTTCTCCCTCATTCAATCACCATATACTTCAATTTGCTTACACTTCTTTATTCCTACTGTCTTTATCCTAATTTAAGCCATCTTTTACTCTCACCTGTCGTACTGAAAAAGTATCCAAGACCTCAGTCACAATCCATTCTCTTCATAGCAGGAAGTGAGAGTGATTTTTCTCATTTGTCAATCTGAAAACTTTCCTTTCTTGCTTCTAACTCAAAGCCCCAGGATCTGAATTGGTTTTTTCTGACCTTTGTAACTCTTATCATTTCCTCCACAGCAAAGTACTTTCAATTCCCAGGATGAACCATGTCTTCTTGTGCCTCCAGCCTAGGAATGTTTTCTTTCTCAGCTTCTAGAGCAAGAATGGTTTCTAGGCGATTTATTTAGTCAGGGTCTATTACTGCTTTCATTCTTAAAGTGTTACCTAACATGCCAGTTTCTTTGGAAAGCCATCCCTGACTAAATCTCCTTAACCTGGGTTAAAAATAGTAAATAACATAAATTATTATAATTGCCTTTTGTTAACTAGATCATGTTCCCCATTACCAATTCAGGTAGGTCTCTGAGGCAGTGTCCTTATATGCCTCTTGTTGTTGTTAAGTGCTGTCAAGTTGGTTATGACTGGTAGATTTGAACCAGTGGCCTTTTGCCTCAAACTGACCATGTGATCTAGTTCTTATGCTACAGTTAAAGTACTCATGACTGGCAGTGTAGTATGTACATAGTATTCTGAAGTTCACTCATATAAATTAGAACAGAGCCAGTGCAATGTATGTCCTATAAATTTATCAAAACTATTGGCATATTGGGTTAAGCACTGTGCTGCTAACCGATGAGCTACTCCACAAGAGAAAGATGAGGCAGTGTGCTTCCATAAACTGCCCTAAAGAGCAGTTCTACTCTGTCTTTCAGGGTCACTACGCTATGAGTTTTAATCAACTCAACAGCAGAGTAAATTACTACAATTTGGGGGTGTTCAAAAAATAGAAATTAATTCTTTCAGATTTCTGGAGTAAAATGATTTGGTTAGCATATATGGTTTTAAACCATTTGGTGTCTCCTTGTTCATTCTAAGAACTGCCTCATCATCTACGTACAGAATCCCCATGAGCAAAGATAAGTGTAGTGTACTACCCATTCTTTAGAATGCTATCCATAGTTTGTTATGATCCACTCAGTCAAAAGCCTCTGTATAGATAATAAAGCACGAGTAAACATGAAAAAAGAAAATACAGTTTGGGTCAGGTACACCTTAGTCCTCAAACTGACATCTTTGCCTAACATGTCATTTGACTTGATTGTTGCTTCCAAAGTGTTGATGGTTGAACCAAACAAAATGAAGTTTCAGATAACATCAATCTTTTCTCCATTTATCTTGATGTTAGTTATTGATACATTGGGAGCATTTTTGTTCTCTTTACATAGAGGTACAACCCATATCAAAGGTTATGGTCTTTGATCTTCATCAATAAGTTATTTTAAATCCTCTCCACTTTCAGTAAACAAGGTTGTATACATCTGAATATGTTGTTAGGTGCCATCAAGTCGGTACCAATCCATAGCAACCTTATTCACAGCAGAACGAAACACTGCCCGATCCTGGGCCAACCTCACTAACACTGCCACGTTTGGAGTCCACTGAAGCTGTCACCTGACCAATCCATCTCATTGGGGGTCTTCCTCTTTTCCTTTGACCCTCCACCTTACCAAACATGATATCCTTCTCTAGCAACTGGTCCCTCCTGACAATATGTCTGAAGTATGAGAGATGAAGTCTGGCCATCTTGGCATCCAAGGAGCACTCTGGCTGCACTTCTTCCAAAATGGATCTATTGGTTCTTTTGGCAGCCCATGGCACTTTCAACAGTCTCTTCCAATACCACAATTCAAAGGCATCAATTCTTCTATGGTCTTCCTTATTCACTGTCCAGCTTTCACATGCATATGAGGTTAATGAACATACTATGGCTTGGGTCAGGTGCACCTTATTCCTCAAAGTGACATCTTTGCTCTTCAACACTTCAAAAAGGTCTTGTGCAGCAGATTTGCCTAATGCAATACGTCGTTTGATTTCTTGACTGCTGCTTCCATGAATGTTGATAGTTGATCCAACTCCTACTAATTCACAATTTATTATCACTACACACTCAAATTTTCAACCTTTCACAGCACATAACAATGTTATGAGGAAAACGGGACTACCATGACCAAAGACGTCAGAATGCACATAGTTCTAACTGGCAGAGTCAAGAAGAGTGGAACAGTTCTACTGATGACAAATGTGACACCATTCCTCTTCAATTTGTCATTCTGATATAGTAATCCATGTGACTGTCAGATTCAAAATGACCAATACCAGTCAATTTCAGCTCACTAATGCCTAGGATTATCTATGTTTATGCGTTTCACTTCATTTTTGATAGCTTCCAATTTTCATAGATTCATACTTCATACAATCCATGTTCCAATTATTAATGGATGTCTGCAGTTATTTCTCCTCATTTTGAGTTGTGTCCCATCAGGAAATGAAGGTACTAAAACTTTACTCCATTTGCATCATCACGGTCAACTTCACTTTTGAGGAGGCAGATGTTCCCCAGTCCTATTTTGTGTGCCTCCCCCATCCTGAGAGGCTCAATTTCTGGCACCAAATCTGACAATATTCTGGAGCACTTCATTATGTTTCAATATTCAATGTTCTGATGCTGACAGTGTTCCACTGCTATTCATACAGTTTTTAGTGACTAAATATTCAGAAGTAGTGCATCTCTCCTTCTTCCTAGACTGTCTTAGTCTGGAAACTCATCTGAAACCTGTCCACTGTGGGTGACCCTGTTGGTATTTAAAATACCTGTGGTATAGCTTCCAGAATCACAGCAACATGCAAGCCACCACAGTATAGCAAACTGACAGATGAGTGGTGGGATATGTGTGGAAGGAGATATTATTAATTGCTTAACTAGGAAACAAAAAAAGAAACAGTTGATTTTAGACATTTTCAAATATGAAGGCCCATACTATGCTATGGATGAAATTCCACCTAATAAACACCTGATAAAAGCACACACTAAAATCTATCAATAGTAAATACTTGGATTATTCTACAAAAATTGCTTTGGAAAAGCAAACAAACAAACAAAAAACAGATTAAGAAGCTAACATTAACAATGATCCTGATGGTCTTCCAGAAAGCCAACAACCAAAGTACCTTGAGCATCCCAAAAAACTACTGCCAGGACCTTTGCTCTTGGCCAATCTGCTTTTACTTTGACTGGAAACAGACAAACAAATAAACCATTGCTTTGACTGTACTTTGTTTTCAGGATCATACTGGTAAAACCATGTTTCATCTCCTGTTACAATTTTCAAATAAATATTTCAGGATTTGGTCTTAAAAAAAAAAAAAAAAAGATCCTGAGACTAAATAAAAACTTTCTAAAAAACATATGCTTGTATGCTTGTTGGCTGTGGTTGTACTGTGGTATATATACTGTGGTTGTGGCTGTACTTTGTTGTACTGTGGTGGCCTGCGTGTTGCTGTGAATCTGGAAGTTATGCCATGGGTATTTTAAATATCAGCAGGGTCACCCAGAGTGGAAAGGTTTCAAATGAGCTTCCAGATGAAGACAGACTAGGAAGAAGAAGAGACAGACTACTTCCGAATTTTTAGTTTCTGAAAACTTTATGAATAGCAGTGGAACACTGTTAGCTTAAGAACTGAATACTGAAACATGATTAACCAGCTTAAGAACCAGAATACTGTCAGATTCAGTGCTGGAAGATGAGCCCCTCAGGTTGGAAGGCACTCAAAATACGACTGGAGAAGAGCTGCCTCTTCAAAGTAGAGTTAACCATGATGATGCAAATGGAGTATTTTTTGGGACCTTCATTTGCTGATGAAGCACAACTCAAAATGAGGAGAAAGAACTGTAAACATCCGTTAATAATCAGAACATGGAATGTACGAAGTATGAAACTAGGAAAATTGGGAGTTATCAAATAGTAGTCTAAAGGGGGGCAAGATGAGGACTTGTAGGGTCATTAGAGTAAGGTATCTTAACAAAGTTCTCAGAGGACAGTCCTTGCTATCCTAAAAAAATAAGGTGCATTGTTGTTGACAAAAGAAAATTCCTTGTCATTAACTTTCTTGTCTTTATTCTCATCAAGGCAGTTTTTAATTTTCTCTAAATTCCTATAGAATACTAAGCCTCCATGATCACCCTTAGAGAAAATCTATCAAGATTACCCACTTGGAATTCTAAAGACAATTGCCATAATCTTCTGAGCTGCCCTTTCTGTCTTGGATATTACTGGCTCAGTAGATTCCTTTGGAAGCCACTTTTTTCACTGGACTGTTTTTTTATTTTATTTTATTTTAAGGCACCCTCCTTAGACATGTGTATTACTGAGAGAACTTGTCTTTAGCCATCCACTGATTCGGAATATACCCAAACATACATGAGCTGGAACTTTTTTACTTACCCTTGTATACTTAGAGACAAATAAACACTCCGGGAAAGTTCAATGATTGAGTCCACCCAGAGGCACTTTGGAAGAAAACCCTGGTGATCTATTTCTGAAATTTCAGCCATTGTAAACTCAATGGAGCACTGTTCTATTCCAATGCACATGGGTCACCATGCGTCAGAATGAGTAAGAATTGGATACACACACACACACACATATATACATGATTACATTTATATTTAGAATACTTAAAGGCTACAATATTATTATTTAAACATTAGCCACTCCTATAATAAATATTGCATATGCAATTCTCTTTCTAGTATCAAAAAATACAGTTAATACCTCATAGTCTGGTCCTCCAAAGTGGGATTTTTTCTTAAGTTCTGTCATGGCATTTGTGCATTCGTCTTCTGCTCTTCTTCTCTTCTCCATTTCCTATTTAACAACAAAAAATCAAGTGAAAAATTTATCATTTTGAAAGTAGGCATTTTTAATTGCAATGAAGTCTTAAATGGATTTCCTCTGCCTTTCACTGAAACTGTATACTTTGACTATAAAAACAAAACAAAACAAAACAAAACAAAAAACTCCACTGATATGAAAATAAGAGCATTAGTCTACCTAAGAAAATATGTTTCGCCAAGCTATGTTGTTGTTGTGCTGGGAAGTGCCTTCAAGTCGGTTCTGACCCATAGTGACCCTGAACAGGGTTTCCGAGGCTGTAAATCTTTACGGGAGCAGAAAGCCTCATCTTTCTCCCACGGAGCAGCTGGTAGTTTCAAACTGCTGACCTTGTGGTTCGCAGCCCGATTCGTAACCACTACGCTACCAGAGCTCCTTAGCTATATTAAACCCTAAATTATATAAACCCTAAATTACCATTTAAATCACCACTAAAATCACTAAGAGGAAAATCCTCAATGAGATGGACTGGCAAAGTGGCAATGACAATAGAATCAAAATAGCAATGACTGTAAGGATGGCGCAGAACACGACAGTGTTTCCTTCTGTTATGCATTTGGTCACTATGAGTCAGAACTCACTTCATGGAACCTAACAACAAGATCACCTTTATAGGTAGATTATGTTTTTAAATAGATTGTTGTTGTTAAGTGCTGTCAGTTCAGTTCTGATTCATAATGATGTTTTATAGGGTTTCTGAGGCTGTACATTTTTGTGGAAGCAGAAAGTCTTATCGTTCTCCTGTGGAGAGCTGGTGGGCTTGTTCCACCAACCTGGTGGTTCTCAGTCCAGTGCTTATTTTACAGAGCCACTGCACTCATCTTTAAATGGATTACATAATTATAAGTGGTTAAGGAGCTCTGGTAGCGTAGTGGTTACGAATCGGTCTGCTAAACTTACGGTCGGCAGTTTGAAACTACCAGCTGTTCTGCGGGAGAAAGATGAGGCTTTTTGCTCCCGTAAAGATTTACAGCCTTGGAAACTCTGTGCAGGGTTACTATTAATTGGAACTGACTCCACGGAACTGAACAACAACAAATATGCCTTAATTAGTCCCAGAGAAATGCCTACAATATATTTTTGTAAAAATACAATGTATTTTTTTCCAGTAAGAGTTTAATTTTGCTATGAAGAAAAAAGTGAAGGAATGGGTACTCAGAAGAAAGGATTCAATTAATAGGTGGAACTAATGAATGTTAAAAAGAGACTAAAAAAACATAGACACACACAAAATTTCCAAATACCTTCTGTCAGAATTAAAGCTAATATAAACCAATACATTCTTAAGATCTAGAGTCTACTGAGTTTTATGAACTAATAAAAAAATCTATTGATTTTTATGAACTAATGAGAAAATGGTACTACAGATCCACTAGGATGACTGCAATTATGAAAACAAACAAAATCACTAGCAATACCAAGTACTGTCAAAGGTTTAAAACAACTGGAATTCCTATCTATTGATGCTGGGAACAGAAACTGATGTAACCACTTTACAAAACATTTTGTAGTGTCCATTTAAGCTTAGCATTTACCCTATGAATCAGCAATTCTGCTTCTAGGACTACACCAAACAGAAATGAGTACTTCTGTCTATCCAAAGAGATGGTACAATAATGCTCACACAGCTGTATTCAGAATACCCAAAAAATGAAAACAATTTAAAGGGCCATCAATAGGAAAATGGATGCAGAGAACGCAGTAAAATCATAAATGAAACAGTACACAGCAATAATAAATGATTAACTACTACTAAACTTAACAACCTGCATTTTTTCTCACTCATTGTTGAGGGAAACCAAACCCAAACACAAGAGTATATATAGTGTATGACTCATTTATGTCTGTTTGTTATTACTGTTAAGTATTGTTGAGTCAGTTCCAACTCATAGTAACCCTGTATAGGGTTTCTGAAACTGCACATCTTTGCGGAAGCAGAAAAGCTTATCTTTCTTCTGTAGAGCAGATGGTAGACTCAAAACGCTGACCTTGTGGCCCGCAGTCCAGTGCTTATTGTGTAGATTCATTGTGCTTCCATATCATATTTGGTTGATTGGTTGGTTAAGTGCCACTGAATGGATTCTGATTCACAGCAACCCAGTATAGGGTTTCCAAGGAGCAGCCGGTGGGTTTGAACTGCCAACCTTGCAGTTAGCAGTCCAGTACAACACTAGAACTCCATAACGCGTTCAAGAAAAAGCAAAACTAATGTATAAGATTATCTCTGGGGTGCTACAAAAGTTCTATAGAGTGACCTGAGTGTGATCAGAGGGATGCATACCACTTTGTTGTTGATGTTAGGTGCCATCGAGTCGGTACTGACTCATAGTGACCTTATGCACAACAAAATGAAACACTGCCCGGTCCAGGGACAACCTCACAATTGTTGCCACACTTGAGCCCGTTGATGCTGCCACTTTGCCAATCCATTTTGCTGGGGGTCTTCCTCTTTTTCTCTGACCCTCTACCTTACCAAATATGATATCCTTCTCCAGTGACTGGTCCCTCCTGACAATATGTCCGAAGTATGAGAGACAAAGTTTGGCCATCCTGGCCTCCAAGGAGCATTCTGGCTGCACTTCTTCCAAAAAAGATGTTTATTCTTTTGGCAGCCTATGGCACTTTCAATATTCTTCTCCAACACCATAACTCAAAAGCATCAATTCTTCTATGGTCTTTCTTATTTGCTGTCTAGCTTTCACATGTATATGAGGTTATTGAAAATACCATGACTTGGGTCAGGTGCACCTTAGTCCTCAAACTGAAATCTTTCTCTTTAACACTTTCAAAAGGTCTTGTGCAGCAGATTTGCCTAATACAATACACATCGTTTGATTTCTTGACTTCTGTTTCCATGAGTGTTAATGGTTGATCCAAGACGAATGAAGTCCTTGACAACTTCAATCTTTTCTCCATTGAAAGAAGGCTGTTTATTGGTTCAGTGGTAAGGATTTTTGTTTTCTTTACATTTAGATGCAATACATACCGAAGGCTATGGTCTTTGATCTTCTTCAGTAAGCATTTTCAGTCCTCTTCAGGTTGTATCATCTGCATATCGCAGATTGTTAATGAGTCTTCCTCCAATCCTGACGCCACGTTTTTCTTCATATAATCCAGATTCTCGGATTGTTTCTCATAAAAACTGAATAAATACAGCGAAAGGATACAACCCTATTGCAAACCTTCCCTAAGTTTAAAACATTCAGTGTTTCCCTGTTGTGATCTAACAGCCGCCTGCCTCTTAGTCTACAAACAGGTTCCTCATGAGCACAATTAAGTGTTCTGGAATATGGATTCTTTGCAATTTTGACCATAGCTTTTGATGTTTTCTGCATCATTCATATTTTGACCATAGAATATTTCAATACTGCAAGTCAAGGCTTGGATCACGGCACAACTCTTTTGGCCTTTGGTATCTGATGCTTCAAATCTGGTCTTCAGATGATGTCTAAATTCAGGTGGGATATAGTCCAGGTCATATTTTGGATCCTGGGGACTTGTTTTAATTTGCTTCAGCTTCAGCCTGAATCTGCACATGAGCAACTAACAGTCTGTTCCACAGTCTGTCTCTGGCCTTGTTTTGACTGATGGAGATTTTCCACGGTCTCTTCCAACAAAAGTAATCAATTTGACTTGTGCGTATTCCATCTGGTAAGGTCACATGTATAGTCTTTTATGCTATTTTAAAAGGTATTTGCAATGAAGAAATCACTGGTCTTGCAAAATTCTATCATGAGATCTCCAGCATCATTTCTACCACCAAGGCCATATTCTCCAACTACTGATCCTTCCTCTTTGTTTCGAATTTTTGCATTCCAAGTACCAGTAATCATCAGTACATCTTGATTGAAGAAGTTGGTAGAATTCTTCCATTTCATCATTACTGGCTTTAGTGGTTGGTGCATAAATTTGAATAATTGTGGTACTAACTGGTCTTCCTTGTAGACATATGGGTATTATCCTATCAGAGACACCATTGCACTTCAAGACAGATTTTGATATGTTCTTTTTTGATGATGAATGCAATTTGTCTTTCTTGTCATAGTAAACCATGTGGTTGTCAGATTCAAAATGGCCAATACCAGTCCATTTCAGCTCACTAATGCCTAGGGACATTGATGCTTATGCGTGCCATTTCATTTTTAATAACTTCCAATTTTCCTAGAGTCACACTTCATACATCCTATGCTCCAAGTTTTAATGGATGCTTACAACTTCTTCTCTTATTTTGAGTTGTGCCCCATTAGCAAATGAAGGTACAAAGGGATTTACTCCATGTTCGCCATTACGGTCAGCTCTACTTTTGAGGAGAAAGCTCTTCCCCAGTTTCATTTTGAGTGCCTTGCATTTTGAGGAACTCATCTTCCAGTACTATATGTGACAACATTCTAGTGTTCTTCATCATGTTTCAATATTCAATATTCTAGTGCTGACAGTGTTCTACTGCTATTCATAAGGTTTTTTCAGTGACTAAATATTCTAAAGTAGTCCATGTCCCCTTCTTCCTAGTCTGTCTTTCTCTGGAAGCTCAGCTGAAACCAGTCCATCGTGGGTGACTCTGCTGGTATTTAAAATACTGGTGGAATAGTTTCTAGAATCACAGCAACACGCAAGCCACCACAGTATGACAAACTGACAGACGAATGATGGAAGCAATGACTTACTGATGAATAATAAAATTGTGACTGATATCTGACATATTATCCAGAGCTGAAATATCATCTGCTAATTGGGTACCTTTGGACCAGTGTCTAGGCCTTCACTCCTTTTTGCATAAAACGGTGGGGTTGAAGTAGAACTAGATCTCTAAGGTATTTTTCAGTTTTAACAATTTTACTGAAGTAAACAGAAGTTTTCCTCCTAAACAAATTTAGTTAGGCATACTTCACACCCTGCTGGCATAGTTGGGCTGTAACTGCAAGATCAGTTCAAATCCACCAGCTGCTATTCTAGAGAAAGATAAGGCTTTCTGCTACCATAAAGATTTATAGCCTCAGAAACTCTATAGAGCGTCGCTATGAGTCATAACTGACTTGACGGCACACAACAACGTAAAACAGATACACTAAAGATTCATATTGTAATCACTGTTCCAATTTAACCAAAAGTTGAAGAATGTACACCTAAGCCAAACATAAGGAGCTCTGGTAGTGTAGTGGATACAAATCGGGCTGCGAACCTTAAGGTTAGCAGTTCGAAGCTACCAGCTGTTCCGTGGGAGAAAGATGAGGCTTTCTACTCCTGTAAAGATTTACGCCTTGGAAACCCTGTACAGGGTCGCTATGAGTCCGAACCGACTCCACGGCACATTATGACCAAAACGTTGGTTTCAACCACAAGGTTCAAACACACCAGACGCTACTTGGAAACCCTATGGTTGGAACCAACTCGACAGCAGTTAACAAGAAGAACAAGACAATAATATTGTAATAGAACAACACTGTAAATGTTCAATTACATCACATGATCTCGAAAAATACATGTCTATGAATGTTCTGGTATGGCGCTACAGAATAAGCACTGGAATGCTTACTGTACAGTCAGAAGTTCAAATCCACCAGCTGCTCCTCAAAAACCCTATACAGGGCCACCATGAGTCAGCAGAGACTAGATGGCACTTATCAACAACAACATGAACGTAACGAATGTTTAATTTAATAAACTTGTATATAAGTTAGTTCATACAACTTAAACAGTTTCATATACCATACACTAAAGGTGGGTAATGTTAAATTGTTCATCACTTAAGTTCCAAGGTATTATTAATAACATAAACTTTTCATAATATTTAATTCCTAACAAGAAAGTTTATTTTGCAGTGACTGAATAAACAAATGGTCAATCTTATCAGGCAAATGAGTCTATGAAGTCCACAAGATTGCAGAAGTAAACCTCTTGCTATTTCTTCTATCCTGATACATTTTTCTCTAAGAAGTTAATTTGTTTTAAATCTTTCAATTAATATATAAAACTTAAAGTCTGAATATTTTTACAAGGGGAAAAAAACGACTCTTACCTTATCCAGTCTCTTTTGCCAGCTGTCCTCACGTTTTACCATTAGTTCAATACAGTGAGAAAGTGTAGCAAGGATTCCAGCAGTTGTTGCTTTAAAAGTTATTGCTTCCCCTTTAAAGTCTATACCATTAATCCCTTTCGGTGTTACATGAGGAAATACTGAAAAAGAAAGTTACTCACTGAAAAGCTTTCAAAAGAAGTATAATTCCTCATCAAAATGCAAGATTAAAAAGTGCTTTTGAAAACAAGCAAATCAGAGAAGGTTCTGGACTACAATTTATCTCCAGTGGACAAACATTTAAAAATCTCCCATCAATGCTCTGTGAGCAAAGAAGCTATTGCAGCATACATCCTTAAAATCCTTTTATCTGGATTCTGTTTCCTGAAATTGATTTGTAGTGTTGCACCCAGTGAATCAAGTGGAAGGAGGCATAATGCTTTAACGGTAACATTCTGGAGGCTTACAGTAGGACCTAATTTATGGAAATAACTAGCTTACATTTTAAGAAACTTAGAATTTAAAAATTATTTGAAGACAAATTGAACTAAGTAATGTACATTTTTTAAATGATTTCTAAATTTAGGGCCAAGACCAACACTCATATTATGTGGCTCTTATATTTATAATTTATCATTTTAGCCTTGAATTAAATGTAAATAAGAGAGTATAATATAGCTATTATGAAATCATTTCAATAGAACCTATAAAAGAAGTAATACTTTCAACTTTAAAAACTCAAGGCAAAATGTCCATGTAAAGACTCATACACAAATGCTCATGTCAGCCTTATTTGTAATAACCAAATTTTGGAAAGAGCCCAAATATCCACCAATAGACGAAGGGTACTACTTAGCAATGAAAAGGAATCAACTATTGATACATGCAACAGCACATAAATCTCCAAAAAAAACAAAAAAAGCCACATAGAAAACACACATAGTATATGATTCCGTTTATACAGAACTCTAAAAAAAATACAAACCAATCTATAGTGACAAAAATAAGATCAGTGGTTGCTTAAGAACAGGGGAAAGGGTAGGAGGGAGCGATTAGAAAAGTGCTCCAGGAAGCATCTGAAGGTAATGGACATTTTCACTATCTTGACTGTGGTCAGTTCCAAGGGTATATGGTGGTGGTGGTGGTGGTTATGTGCTGTGGAGTCGGTTCTGACTCATAGCGATCCTGTACAGGAATCTGAGGCTGCAAATCTTTACGGGAGCAGAGAGGGTATCAAAACCTATCACATTACTCTTAGTCACCATTCAGGCCTGGAACTCTGGCCCCCATGCTCCCACAACCAGCAACCATCAATTTTCAGGCAAACAACAGACAGGTCTTGAAGGGGGAACCCTATCACTGGGATGCATGCACTCCTTAGAGTAAGTAGTCATTTATGATCTAAAGGATAGCATTTACCCCGAAGAGTTAGGAAATGAGGAATAGAAATGGGAAACACAGGGAGAAACTGGGATAAATGATAGTGCGGGCTGCAATCAATGACACTAGAGACAAAATGTGTATGAACTGTTCAATGCAAAATTGATGATCTGCTCTGTTAACTTTCACCCAATTCACAATAAATAATAACTAATTAAAAAAATTTATGATTTGAAATTATTCCACTATCACATATTTCACTTCAAATTCTTTCAAAACATCAGCAAAAAATAAGCATAATTAGATGAAATTATTTTGCTCACAAAGGCTTATTTGTTAACAAAATATTTTTAGAAACCCATTATAGCTTTTCCTTAAAATATATTCAAAGAAGAACAATGACAACAAATCAGAGGTTATCAATGAACAATTCAGAATCAGCCATTATAAATGAAGCAATAATTAATAAAGCAGTACGAAATAAACCATCTTGCTCCAAGATCTATACACATTATGCTGTGAAAGCAGAGCTATTTCAATAATTTTCTTTTAATAACAATGATTATATCATTTTCAACATTAGTGTATCAAGTGGAGAAAGAAAAGAATGCTAAACAGAAAGAAAGAAATATGCTTTAGAGATATTTTCAAGTTAAGTTCCATTGCAAATTTTCCATAATCATCCTTTTCAGTATTAGAAGTGCATTACATCAAACACTGCTGAAATAAATGGTTCAATGTCAGGCATTTAGAGTAAGACTTTGTTAGATGGTAAGCAGTCATAATTATTATTATTCCCTACGAGAAATTGTCACTTGGACTACAGCAGTTCCAATGCTTTTTAAAAAGTTACTCAGTCAAGTAATTATTCTTTGATGTGTGGTGGTGTCGGCTTGTGCTGAGTAGCTGGTTTAAGACTCATAGCAGTCCTGTATAGGGTTTCCAAGGCTGTAAATCTTTACAGGCTCTCAAGGAACTGCTGGTAGTTTTGCACTCCTGATCATGAGATTAGCAGCCTAACTTGTAACCACTAAGCTACCAAAGCTCCTTGAGGTATGCTGGTGGTGGTGGCAGTGTGCCGTGGAGTCAGTTCCGACTCATAACGACACTGTACAGGATTTCCGAGGCTGTAAATCTTTACAGGAGCAGAAAGTCTCATGTTTCTCCTGTGGAACCACTGGTAGTTTTGATACTACTGTCCGTGAGAATAGCAACCCGACTTGAAACCACTAGGATCCCAGAACTCCTTTCCTTGATGTATTGTTGTTGTTGTTGTCAGGTGTCATCGAGTCGGAACCGACTCATAGCAACCCCATGCACAGCAGAACAAAACAATGTCCGATCCTGGGCCAACCTCACTACTGCTGCCACACTTGACGCCATCAATGATGTCACCTGGCTGATCCATCTCGTTGGGGGTCTTCTTCATTTTCTCTGACCCTCCATCTTACCCAGCATGACATCCTTCTCCAGTGACTATTCCCTCCTGACAATATGTCCAAAGTATAAGACACGAAGTTTAGCCATCTTCGCATCCAAGGAGTACTTTGGCTGCACTTCTTCCAAAACAGTTCTATTGGTTCTTTTGGCAGTCCATGGCACTTTTAGTATTCTCCTCCAACACCATAACTCAAAGGCATCAATTCTTCTACGATCTTCCTTATTCACTGTCCA